GCAAACAATAGGTGCTAAATATTCAGTGCCTACTGAAACTGTGGGAAAAATTGCTCAGGAGCATTTACATCTTGGGAGTTTTGCACAGTTATTTCCTCTAGGTCACAGACATTCTGTCTGTACTTAGATAATCAGTAAGTAAATCTGTGGACTCTGTCTTTGATATAATATGGTATCTTTGCTAGGTTTAAAGGAAAAGAATGCCTGGGGTATCGAATTCTAAAGCATTGTTTCACATGTCAGTCTGGTTCTCAATACTTATCTCTTTCTATCAGCATACTTAAGTATAGTGTTTGCTTTCCAGTTATTCCCAATTACTCTTTATCACCACTTATATATGATATGTTTATAGAACTGGGCATTGGGCAAAAATATTGGGTTGTCATCCCTCTCTGAATGCTACAATTAAATTAAAGGTGACAGTGTTCCTGTACTTGTTTTGACCAAGAACTGGTAGAAGTTTGTCCAAGTGACACAGACTCACAGGCATGAAATGTCAGTTGTTTCAAAACAGCTGAAAAACTTGAACATACATAATTGTCCATCACCAAAGTACCCATAGATGACCTGCCAAAATCATCCTGAAACTTTACTTCCATTGGTGGGAGGAGGGTTGGGGGACAGTTGGAGGTAAGATTATTGTCATATGTATTTTAATGCCATAAGGACAAATTTGAAAAAGGTTTGACAGGTGGTGAATGAATCTTGATTGACATGATGGCTGGTAGATCTCTAATGGGAGAATAGTTCAGTGATGGTGATTTAGATTTGAAGGGTTTATATCGGAGGGGGAAGATATGTGATTCAGGGTGTTAATCATGACATAGCTTGGGTTTTTACAGGTAAAATTCCAATACCCTCTGTGCATCTTTACTCCTGAAGATTACCACCCCCTCTGTTTTGTTGGTTGATCTGTCTGAATGGGTAATTGGAGAAAGGAGTTTAGTATGAAATGGGATGCAAGGGAAGTAGAAAGGCTGTATCTTTGTCTCTATGTGACAGTGAGCAACTTAAGTTGGTTAGGAGAAATCTGTCACAACAGACTATATTCTGTCTACGAGGCAAAAGAGAGTAGAATAGAACCAGAGAGCATTTTGTAAGTCAAAACAGGGTGAATTGAACATGAGCTTGAATGAGTATGAACTTTGAGGGTCTGGGAGGGATCAAACATGTTTGCTGTACCTGTGACCATGACTTTGGCTAGTGATGAGCCATGGGAATTAGCTAACCTTACAAATAATTCAAAGTGTTTAGCTTATCATTTTCTCAAAAGACTTACAAGTTGATCAAATATTTATTAAACACTGTGGTAGGCAGAATAATGGCCACCTACTAATACCAGGAAACTATGAATGTGACCTTACATGGCAAAGGGACTTTGCTGATGTGATAAACTAAGGCCCTTGAGAAGGGGAGGTTATTCTGGATTATCTGGATGCGCCCAAAGTAATCACAAGGGCCCTTGTAAATGAAAGAGGGAGGCAGGAGAGTCAGGCTCAGAAGGAAATGTGATGATGGGAACAGAATCAAAGTGATGTGATGTGAGCAAGACTCAACGAGCCATTGCTGCTTTGAAGATGAAAGGTGGCCATGAGCCAAGGAATGAAGCCACCTCTAGAAGGTAGAGAGAAGGCAAGGTAATTAATTCACCCCTAGAGTCTCTAGAAAGGAGTGCAGCCTTGCCTACCCCTTGATTTTACTCCTAACCTCCGGAACTCTAAGATAATAAATTTGTATTATTTTAAGCCACTTGGTAATTTGTTACAGTAGCAATAAGAAATGTATACAAGTACCTCCTAGTTCTCAGGAACTGTCTTAGGCACAAAGCAGAACAGAGAAAAGAGAACATCTCTTGCCCTTGTGAGTGAGGTGCTCAAGTCCAGCTTGCCCATTGTATGTCACCTGATAGAATGAACACGGTTTTCACAGAGAAAATCATCCTTGATTACCAGCCTGTGGAACTTTACACAACAACATCTGTATCTTATGAATAGGAAAAAAAGCCCATCCTGCCCTTCCCACACAAGTTTTTTGTGTTACCCTGAAGGCTGTTGTTCTCTGACCACAGCAGTTTAACCGCAATCCAATCTCTTTTATATGTGAAGGATCTTCTATAGCATTACAGTCCTGCTTTTGCATTCGGAAGAGCTGGGACTCTCTAAGGCCATGACTTGAAAAGGAGGTGGCCTTTTCTTGAGGGCAGTGGTCCTTCACCTAAATGAGGAAACCACATCCACAAGGAGTTAAGTCACACTGCTGGAGTCACAGATCCTGCTAGAGCTTGAGTTTCCTGACCCACTTTTCAGTGTCTTCCCATTTTCCTAACAGACACTAGGGTGCCTGGATCCACATGCTGTTTCAAAATCTGAAATAGGAATCAAGTCCATTTCACTAACCAACTTCCCAGCACACCATGTGGATTACAAAAGGAAATTAATGTGGAAATAAACGCTTTGGAAGCTAAAGGAACCATGTTCTCTTGCTGTAGTGTTTGGCGGGTCTCACTGTTGGTGTCATTTTCAAGTGTGGGGCTTGATTTAGTAGACGCAGCCAACAACTGTGTATCTAATCAAAGGGCTAGAAGCACACAACTTTCAGTGTTGGGGAACCATGAGAAGCATTTTCAAGTTTTGGAGTGGTATGTCAGGAAAAAAGGCGAAAAGCATCCAAAGGGAGCTGGGAGATCAAGCTTAGAGATCTTGTTTTTCAGGTCTGGTATGGTCACTTTGTAAAGTATTGCAGACAATGCGTTATAATTTATCACACTGATACTCTTAGATTGGATGAAGCCCAAACACAAGGAGTTAGATGCGTATTAAATTACCTCTTACTTAAAAGGAGGGTGGTCTCACTAGGGCAGGATGGAGTTCATTAGCAGCCTGAGAAGCTTTTTTTAACTCTTCATTATCTGGTTTCGTATTATTCCTGCTTCCCCAGGACCACAGGACACTTTTCCTTTTTTAATTCTTAGAAAAGTACACTGTGCATTGTATGAATCTCAGTAGCCACCCTTTCCAAAGATAAAGTACCCATCATCACAGATATAAACCAAACTTGGATTACTATGAAAACTGCTCCTATTCTTTACATAAAATCATTTATTTTTCCTTTTTAGGAAAAAGCAGAAAAAATGTTTGTATTGGGGGGGTAGTTTATTTTTAGAGGCGGTACAGAGGATTGAACCCAGGACTTGTGCATGCTAAGCGTGTGCTCTACCACTAGAGCTATACCCTCCCTCCTGTGTTTTTATTTACACATTCCATTATGATAATTGACTGACACACCTATTGGGTATAGTCTAATGTGTTTGGGAATTACGATCACATTTCTTGTAGCTTACCAGCTTTATCATCCATAGAATTCACTGAATGGCATGGTTCAGACAGGATTCTATTGACAGAAGGCTTTGACTATGCCTCCAGATTCTTTTTCCAGAACTAAGAACTTCAGACTCTATGTAAATGGCCTTTAATTTGTGCATTCTAAGTCTTGTGAGATAGTTTTCCCCTGGGGGACAAGAAGGACAGAGAGAAATCTCTGTAGTGCTGTAAATTTAATCATTTGATCCCAAAGGAATTTTTATTTTTTATTTATACATTTTTGTTTGTCTCAGTTTATTATTTGTCCTTCTTTGAAAAACCAGTTCAGGTTGAACAATTGGGAATTTGATACCCATTTATCCATTGGTCTTCCAAGAATACATAAATGTTATGTTAAGAGAGGATTTATCTCAGCTTAAAAATGAACCACCAGGACAGACTTCTGTCCCTTTCCACTCTACTCACTCTCCCCCTTTGGGTCTCTTGTTAAACATCAAAGAATCTTCAGTGGAAAAAGCATCGGTGTAGAAATTGGGGGATGGGTGAGACTTGGGATTGGGTGACAATCACAAAAATCAGTTTACCCTTGTCTCTTGCATTGATCTTTCAGCAAGCACTTAAACCCAGTTTTTTTCCAGTCCTTTTTTAGTACTTCAAAGTAGCAGTTTATCAATAGAACCAGCAAGCTAGACACAGTCCTAGGAGGTCATCTGGTTCATCTCCGTGCCTTAGGCACAAACATATCTAAGTAATTCCAGGCAGATAACAAGAGACAAAGACTGCTTCTGCCTGTGTACCACAGATCTTCTGGGCTGTAGGACGTCACTTCCCATTTGCTTCCTATATAATTTTAATGTGAGAAAGCACCTCTTCTTGCCAAATTCTTGTACTTACGTGCTAAATTTAGAATAATACAACTGCTTTCATGCAGCATCACAGCTGGCAAAACCACCACAGTAACAAAAAAAAAAAAAGCATGTGAAGAGCCTATGTGTAGTGGAACAATTTAGTTTTTTTTATTTCCCTTAATGGTCCCCCTGTAATTTCTGACCTAAATGGCTCAGTAATGATCTAATGTGGGATATTTCATGACTCTTTGGGTGGATCCTCCAAATGTTGACTTACTTTATTAGCAGGGGTTTGTCGAGTGACATATGGAAACTGCATTTTCTTTCTCATTTTTTGACCTCCACTAGCACAAAACTCGAATCCTATAAATTCAGAAAGAAATTGGCGACGGAGCAAGACACAGGTCTATTGTGCAGTTGTTATTAGACATTCTTGCCAGTACAATAGTTCTGAATCTGATTAGCCTATTTATTATTATTCATTAAAAAAGTACACGATAACTGAATTCTAGTAATTTCTGTAGCTGAAAGCTGTTGCCTTTTTTGTATAGCTGAGGAAGAATTCATAGACAAAGAAGCTGGCTCTTTTTTTTCCTCCACATGGCTTACTCCATTAGGATGGGGTGTGAAGCACGGAACTGGGGAAGGACCCATATTCCTGAATGCTGTGTTTGTCCCCTTTATAAGAACTCAGTACTTTTTCAATAGAAACTAAATTTAATTTGTGGCTACACTTTAAGTAAGATGGTTTGATGGTAAAGTGGAACAGTCCCAGCCCTCGCGTGGCCAAATCCCTTAGCGTCGCTTTCATGTGGTCGGGTAAGCCATTCTCAGAAACTCTGAGCGTTTTTGAAGATATTAAACTGGAGACATTCACAGTTCTTCCCTCCCTTTTTGCTATTAATCCTTCATGTTTTAACAAGTACTGAAGCTAATGCTGCCTACACTCTTCCGTGTCAAATTGGAACTTTTTTCTTCTCTCTCGAATAGTCTGTTGTCTCTAGTTCATATTCACATAAATCAAAGGAGTAGATGTTAACACATGCCCTATTCAAATATCAACTTCCTTTTTTTAATCAAGCAGGATTGAGATATTTAATTTGAAGAAAGCTGGTGTTTTTTAAGATTAAACAAGCCATATATTCACCTCTTCCTATTCTTTCTTGTCATTTTTATAAAGCAAAATTTTGCTTTCAGCTTGCACCAGACCCTTATTCCCGCTAGGGCACAGCAACCTGGATATCATATTTCCCCAAAAGCAGACCCTAAATGGTTAATAAATGATTGGAAGTCTATACTGCAAAAGCTTCTTTGACCTGAGCAGGTTCCATTGAGCATTATTGTCAAAAATGGTGGCATATCTCCACCTTGCTTTATTCACAGTAAAGTTTTGGAATAATTTAATTTGTAAAAATTGAATGTGGGTGTGGGTGTCTTATGATCCCCTTTCACCACCCCCCCTCAAACTCTTGGATTTTGTTGTTCAGATGTTTTCTAAGACCTGGGATATCTATGTCTAGGCCTAATTATGAGGGCCCAAATTGACACACATTCTAGGAAATAACTTGACCACCAATACTCCTCAAAAATTGAAGATCATTCGAAAAAAGGGAAGTCTGAAAAACTACCCCAGCCAAGAGATACCTAAGGAGACATGATGTCTAAATGTAAGGTGGTGTCCTGGATGGGATCCTGGAACAAGAAAAGGACTTTGGGTAAAAACTAAGACTCTCTGAATAAAGTTTGGCCTTCAGTTATATTGTATCAACATTGGTTCATTTGTTGTGAAAAATGCACTATACTGGTGAGCGGTGTGACAATCGGGAGGATGTTCACATTAGGGAAAACAGCCTATGAGGTGTATGAAACTCTACTGTCGTTAGCACTTTTGTGCAAATCTAAAACCATTATAAAAAGTTTGTTACATAATTTGTGCTGATTTCTCTACAGAAGTCTTACTATCTGTTAGGATTGAAATAGGAGTAAGAGCCACTTTTCCTTTTACAAATAAGTTTCTGTGGGAGGCAAACTTTCTGTTTGAAATATGAAACTCAGGTCATTTCTTGACAAAGAGAAATTTCCTGGTTGGTCTGCAGTGTAACGTGGTCGTATGTAGTCTGGCGCATGGCACAAGGAAGATTTCCACTATGTTGTGTGCTTGATAATGTGAAGTTATTTTGTAAGAGTAGCTTTGCATTTTAAAGAACTTTTTCCCAAGATTTTCCATCTTGCGGTTGAGTAGTTTTATTACACACAAAGAATTGTGTGTATAAAGGACTCATTGTCACCTTAAATTTTTGGTGGTGTGTCTTGCCTTTTAGGTTCTGTTAGAGTCTCTCCTAGTATAGGTAACGGTGGAATGCATCTCAAAATTTTCACTGATTGTTGTTTTTTAACTTTTTTCTTAACACAGGCCATTTTTTTCTTTCTTTTTAATTTTTAAATTTTATTGAATGAAAGATTCTTTAAAATCCATAGTGCTTTACAATTTTCAAAAGTTTCACACAGATGATTTCATATAATCCTATAATAACCCTTTTTTCCTCTACTCTTATATTGCCCCTCCCCCCTTCCCTTAGCATAATCCTTTTATTTCCAAAATGTGACAATTTTCGCCAAGGTGACCCCATAAACCTAATAAACCCCGTATTTTAAAAATATAGGCATATTTCATGTTTCTGGAGTTCAGAAGAATGCTCCCCAGGTCCTGTGTCTGTCTCTAAGTAGGGAGTCAGTTTTGTTTGTTAAAACACACAGGGGCATTCTCCCCTTCTCACAAGAACTAATAACAGTTCCCATATTTATTTACGGGCATAAACACTCATTTAAGAAGAACTTGTATTGAAATGGCATTTTTGGTTTAGTTGCATAGTGACAAGATGAAAACAAAGCATTTTCTCCCAAAGCAGTGACAGTAAACGCAGGGCTTGTCAGTTGTGACCCAGGTGGTTTCCAGGTGCTGGCTGTCCAGTAGAGGCCCAGGAAGTGATTAATAGGTCTTGATCAGTTCTCAGCGGGAAGTACCCACCGCATGGTAAATGTCACCACAGTCGGCACTAATTAGTTCTGTTGTCAGCTGTCGAAACTGGTAGGGTAGGAGCTGTTGAGTCAGGGGATCGTTCCTACCCCGGCAGCTGAGGTCCAACTGGAGAGGGGCTGGAGACTCAGTGCCAAAGCCCTGTCTGCCCCGAGGGGATGCATGAAGTTGTCTATGATCATGTGCAGTCAGAAGTGTGGTGTTCAGGAGTGTGGACTTTACACTTCAAAGAGAAAATGTACTTACATTCAGTCGATGCAAGATTTCGCCGTATATTGACTTCTAAATCAGCCAGGATGTAGTTCAGATCTGGGCTTTGTCACTTACTATCCTTTTGACCTTAAGTCCATGACTTTACTTGCCTGAGTCTGGGTTTCCTAATCTGAAAAAAATGGAGGCAAAATTACCCAGCTATTAGGACTGATAAAGAGATGTATACAACATGTTTGGCACTTAATAGGTGCTCAAAGATTTTGGAATGCCCCCACAAGTAAATAACCACGTAACCTGGTGTGACAGCGACGGTGTTCATTAGCCCTCCTAATCATAAACAAGCAGGCTCTCAGCAGTTCAGTATCGGCATGGAGCCTGATGCGGAAGGGAACTTAGGACCTCAGCCTTCACTGTCCCTCTCATTGATCACTTCCTAAGAGCCTGCTCATTTAGGAGAGGAGCAGGAACAGGAGAGATGTAAAAACCAGCGAGTCAAATTGAAGGAAGTTAAGCAATGGCGCTTTAGCAGAGGACCATTTATTGTATCACACGTGCCTCATTTGGCTGAGTTGTGAAAATGGGTGCATGGCCCCATAAAGGAGGCATCCTAGTCCTGGCCTACATGGATGCAAAATGAGATTCATCCCACAGTGACTTTGGGCCATACTCGATTAAGTCACTGTTATCAAATGGACCTCCAGGCCTCTTCAAATTCAGATTCAGTAGATCCAGGCTGGGACTCAAGAATCTGTGTTTTTAACAAATTCTCTAGGCACTTCTTCTGTTCATATAAGTTTGAGAACCATTGATTTAAAACAGTACTGTTCACTCGACTGCACATGGGAATTTCCTGTGCAACTTTTAAAAATCTTGGTGCCTGAGTCCCACCCCCAGAAAATCTAATTTAATTGATATGGGCTGTGGCTTGAGAATTGGGGAATTTAAAAAAGCTCCTTAGATGATGCTAAGGTACAGGCAAATGTGGAGTAATACTAGCTTAGAAAATGGCTTGAGGGGTCCCTGCACCTGCAAATGATGAATAAGAATAAGTCACAATCAGATGTAAAGTCACATCGCAGATAAGTAGGTTCCAGCTCGATTTAAGGTATGAGATGTTGGGGAAA